GACCATGCACCTCTCCAGCACCTCCCTAGTAATTTTTGAAGGATAGTTTGAAGCTCTCCATTGAACCGAAGTGTCTACATGGGAAGCTGGACGTTTCCAGATATTCTCTCCGGCGCAGCTCGTCCGAAGACACTAATATAGGCTCCATCAAAGCAGAACTCCCTTCACCTCTTCTCTCCTCACACCCAGAGGTACTAACAGATTGTTCGCTCGCCATCCTAAAGATTTCCAAGGTTTTGGGAAAATTCAAAGAAAAAGATGAAGAAACTGAAAATGGGAGATGTCGCCGGAGTTGCTAACGGAGCACGTCGGAAAATGTAGGAAGGCAGAAAATGCAAAGGTCCTTAGGAGCAATGTGAGGTTTTCGCGAAGTAAAAGCTTCGAAATGAAGAGAATGGGCCTTTTATAGGCATTCCAAACTCTCCCCAGCCATCGGATCACCCAACTTCCATCCGGGCCGTCCAAAATTGAGGCACGGGGATCTCCGTTAAAGCCAGGGTCAATTGAATCAACGGTCTTGATGAAGCAATGAGAAACACGCACGACCCAATCACGTCGCCTAGAAAAACGAAAACCGTCGCCATCATTATCATTTATGGCAAAAGGGACATGCCTTGAAGCCAGTAAGCACCCCCCATGATTACATTGGGAAGACTCAAAAGCCTTCAAATCATTAACTCGAAACCCCAGGGATGTCCCTTCAGAAGCCCAATCACTTCAGAACCTATATCACTTCGGCCACTACAGCTTAGCGTTGCAACAGCTATCGACATAGTTGCCAACCTATATCATTTCGACCACCACAGCTTAGCATTGCAACAGCTCTCCACAGAGTTGTCAACCTATATCGCTTCGGCCACCACAACAGCTTAGCGTTGCAACAGCTCTCCATAGAGTTGCCAACCTATAACGCTTCGGCCACTATAGCTTAGCGTTGCAACAGCTCTCTACAGAGTTGTCAACCTATAACGCTTTGGCCACTGTAGCTTAGCGTTGTAACAGCTCTCTACAGAGTTGTCAACCTATAACGCTTTGGCCACTGTAGCTTAGCGTTGTAACAGCTCTCTACAGAGTTGCCAACCTATAATGTTTCGGCCACTATAGCTTAGCGTTGCAACAACTCTCCACAGAGTTGCCAACCTATATCACTTCAGCCACTACAGCTTAGCGTTGCACAGCTCTCTACAAAGTTGCCAACCTATAACGCTTCGGCCACTACAGCTTAGTGTTGCAACAGCTCTCCATAGAATTGCCAACACACATCACTTCGGTCAGAATAGAATTTGATGTTGCTACAACTTACCTCCTCGATTTTCCAGTCCATATCACTTCGGCTATCCACCTCTGGCGTTCATCCCCGTGCATACCAACTCAAGTCACTGAAATTAAGTCCTCGTACTATATAAGTATTCATACATAGACTTGCAAGACTATTGTTACGGGTCGGTGTCAGACCCTTCACCTCGACGCCACGTGTCAGCAGAGGTTGCCCATCATAACACTCGTCAGCCGGGGTGATTACCCCATAGGATGATCTGAGTGCACATACCGAAGTGATTACGTCAAGGACGAATTGAATAAGCGCCAGCGAATGAATCGGACCCATCCACCTGCACTTCGCTTCTATAACGCTGCAACGCCTCACCTGCCTCGCCTCGCCTCTTCAAAGATCTTTTGTACAAAGATCTTTCCAGAGTCGAATCACTAACTGATAGGACGTGTGGCAGAACTCAAACAGTTAAATCAGCTGCTTTTGTCAGAAACATTCAATACCAGTCAGCTTATGGAGGGATGGATTGATACCAAGGATGGGGCGAACTGTGGAGATCTAGCAACACGTGTTTCCTCATCCAACGGCTCTCCCATCCCCATCCTTGGTATAAATACTCTCCCCCTTGTGCTTGAAAAGAGGATTGGAATCTAACACTCTTCAAACTACCACTACATTTTGAAATTAAGTATTCTCTTCCCTCGAATATTATTATTTTTCGATACGCATTTTGTCAACGACTTCCCGAAGAGTAGTGTTCAACTGTCGGTGAACTCTTCTCCGATTGAACTTCAAAATGACTTGACTGTCGGAGTGCTTGTGGTCGCTCCCCAACCCCTTTGGAAAAGGCCACGAGTGACTAACGCCATGCCATGTATGCAGGAATGGATGACTTGAAGACATCTTCTGTTGGCCACGTGTCGGAGTCATTTTTCGAGGTCAACAATAACGATTCAACATTTTCCTCATCTTACAATGTTTCAATAGAGAGGACATTAAATTGCCTATATTTTTTCTCCTTTAGTTTCTCTGTATCTACATAAACTTGAATCTTCCAAATTTCTTTTGATAATTTCTCTGCAACGCTTTTAACATATGGTCGATTTTCCTACAAAATAAATTTTGAATAGGTTTACATAAATAATAAAAAATTCAATTATTTTTTAAATAACTCATTATAATAAAAATCAAGTTTTGAAGAAAAATTTAAGAAATACCTCTCCAACATGTCCCATTAATTCAACTGTTGAACAACCAAGTGTCTGTTCTGCTACTTCACCAAACATAATAGCAGCTGATTTTTCAGTATTATCGTCTAATTCAGCATATCCCCTAGCACTTTAAATGCGTTGAATATATTAATTTTAATTTGAATAGTGTCAAATTTTAAATTAAATCAGACATCAATTTTAAATTAAAATTTTAAGATACATACCGTGGTTTACAGACTCCTTGGCTTTTGCTATATATACAAACGAAACTTTTATTGTATTTATATCCAATTCCTTTATTACAGTCAACGCATGACATATAATAAAATATTTGGGCAAACTCAATCACATTTATATTTGTCTATATCCACAATTTTGTTTCTACATTAAATCATAATCAATTTTTAGAATGAATGTTAGTGTAAAGACAAAAAGATGTATAAGTTTGTGTTTCGTACTATTATATTATATCAAATTTTACACATAATCATAAACATTTTGTACATAATAAAACAATAGGTAACATTACAATACAAAACTAAATAAATAAATATTTTTTCTTCATTAAGTTCAATGTACCTTACCAAATAAATTATTAGCATTTTTAAATTGATAATCTCCACGTCCATTTTGTTTTTTTAGTATAATTTTTTCTAGTGACTAAAATGTAGTAGTACAAAGTTTTTTGCATTTCTCATTCATTTATTATTAGATAATGGAATTTCAACAGCAACAACATCAATGGTCACAAATGGTAGCTTAATTGCTATTTAATGAAAACAATAAAACTAACGGTGAAAAAAAAATTCCGTTAGATTTTCCATTAAAACAAAAATTTCTGTTTTATAGGCACTTTTTATATATAGAAGATATACTCCTAATCCTAGATGATTCATTGAATTATTTTCACGAAAATTTGTTTGAATTTTAATCGACATAGATAGATGTAATAGATTCAGCTAATCAATTATGGCTAATTTCACTCAACGGAGGTAATTAGTTAAAATAAAAACATTGAGTCTAACATTGTAATTAAGTAATTTTCTTTTTGACTCATTAAGAAATTAATTAGACGACAGTTAAGTGAATTTATTAATCCCAACTCTTTTGTTATCCAAATTTCCACAACTTTTATAATTGTTATTTTAATTAAACTTCAAACTATTTTTTTTTCAATTACAAAAGCTAAATTCAATTGTGTTTATTATCTTGTTAGAATTTAATTGATTATTGTGTAATCAAGAAAACATTACTCGTAGAATCGACAATTCGAACTCATTTGTTCATTTCATTACGTATACGCGACTCGTGCATTCGTCATACAAATTTTATTGCAAACAAAAACAATCATTTTCTTTATAAAGATTTCACCTCATGGGAGATTTATGATAATTGTAGAGACACTCAGTTCCCTTTTCAAAGATTTCCAAAACCTGACTTGAGTTTACTTTGTATAACAGATTTCCTCCATCACCTAAAAGTAAATTTACATTTTTCATTTTACCCCTATATTCTATTTTAATATATTACTATATTTAAATTTCATATTTTTTTTCCCTTAAGATATAAGTTTTATACTTTTCATTTAGATGAACCATTTTAGTTATCAAAATTATACCATTATACTTCATATTATACAATTTATAAAATTATTAAATAAGAGTTTTTTCAAATACTGTATAAAATAATTAACAAATAAACATGAACAAGTGTTTTAGAATAATTTAATAAATCTAGTTGAAGATTTTATAATGCATTTATTAAATTATTAAATATGATTTATTTTTCTGAATATGATTGCCAAATAATTAAAAATTAACATAAACATATTTTTAGAATAAAGCTAGTTGAAAGTTTAATACCATATATTATTTTTTTTTCTCAAATACAATTGACACGTAATTAACAAATGAACATAAATAAATGTTTTAGATTTAATAAAGCTGGTAAAAAAAATGTTTTAGTAGAACCTTTTTTTTTAATTTTTATATTTTAGTTTGTCCATTTTGTAAGAAATCAATATTCATAAAAATATAATCAAGATCAAGTCCATGATTAAGTCTCATTTTTTTTCGAGTAGACTTTAGGGGTAAAAAGGAATTCCAGAATTTTTAATAAAGAAAAGGAAGAAAATATATTTGAATATACGTATAAAATTATTTTATCGAAAAAAATAAATAAATTAAATAATGAGGCTTAATAACATTTTAAGAAAATATTAAAAATAAACTTTTTGAAATTAAAATAATTTATTTAAATTGTCGTGAACCGTGTAGAGCTAGGCTCCTTTCTAATCTTTGCGCGTTTTTGGAGTAAACGCTAAACCCAAATTTCTTGGCTTCTCTGAGCATTTCAACTTTCCGCTAACACATCGGTCTCTGCTCTCTTCTGGTGGTAAAATCGCCTTCCGTTTGCAATTTGTGCTTGGTTATGTGATATTTTTTGTTGTTTCTTGCTATAATTCCATCTCGCGGTTTTTTTTACAGGTTTTGAGATTTCCTATTCAAATTTGATCAAATATGCAGCTGACCCTTGAGTTCGGGTAATTTTTTCCTAGTTTTTCGTTTAAATAATGTTCTGCATAGTATGTAGTAGCATCTAATTAATGAAAAGTTATTGATTAATTACTGTTTGGAAGAATTTTGTAGTTGCGAAAAAAGAAAGTGAAAAAAGTCTATCTTGGTAAATACCCTTGACGAAACTCATAAAAGGAGAACTGGAATCAGTCTAATTGATTCTGTTCTTTTGGAAGCTATCTCCAGGTTTTACCCTTATATAGGGAAATTATGGAAGGTAATAAAAACACAGGCGATTAGTTTTGAGTAATACTTGTACAGACTGCGGATCATCCCTATGTGAGGTGGCATCAAGATAGCGGGTCTCATATCTACACATTTAATTGATCATATTATTTGACCCAAAACATATAGCATTATTCTTTAGCTTTTAATCACCTCCTTCAAGGGTTCTTAAGGAATTTATATCCCAATTGCAATCTTGTGGGTATCCGATTTTTTAATCCTTGGTTTCTTTTGCATTTTATTCTTGAAATCTCACACATGGCAGATAAGAAAGCAAGTCAGAACGGATTTCCTTTATTTATTTATTTATTTTTTTTTTTGAACTTCAAGACATTTTTCAATTATGGGGGTGAGGGAGTGAATATATAGTAATTTTAATTGTAAATTATTAATGGGAGAACTATTTTACCTTCTACTATAGGCAGAACTTTCAAGAAATTTGAATATTCAGAACTTATTTTGAAATTAATTCGAATTAGCAGGTTTGCTACGTGTAAGATAGGATTGTGGTTGCAAAAACATAAGAAACAGGAAAGTATTGTTTGATTGATTACTTGCTTACTATCCTTAGTGGACCTCTTGATGCCACAGAGTGGAAAAAGCCATGAAATCATTGTTCATGACAGCATCCTAAGATTTATAACCTGAGAATATCTCATTCGACATAGATGGATAGTAACAACAATTCTAAAAGGAATCAAATCAACCTATCCAATCCAAAAGTTTAATTTGTTGGAAATCATCTATTCATTTGATTCTTCCTCTGAATTTCAAGTGGTTTCTGGTGACAGTTTTCCTCACCAGTAACTAAAAAATATGATAGGTATCACTACTTCAAGATTCAACTTCCTTTGCACCAGTCAACTCTTAAAAAATGTCCTAAGCTTCTTAGATAACTGATTGTTGATGAATTTGCCCATCAAATTACATGTAGGTCATATGGTGACTTCACCACATCAAAAAGAAGACTAATACATAGATAATCTGGTCAAAATTTTAGAAGGATCAACATCCCTTGGTATTAGCCCTTGATAAGCACCCATGGGAAACCTTTTATGATGCGGATATACCAATATACAATCAACCTTAGAAAACTGTGTTTGAAATACCAGCGTTGATCTCCAGCTTCTTTTTTCTTACCATTGCTTGTTTCAACAGCAGCACGTACTTCACTGGTTATCCTCCATGTTTGGTGTATGACATCTAGCCAGTTATTTGAGGAGTCATAAACAGAACCTTATTGGTATTTGTTAAAGTTTAGTCTTTCTACAGATTAGCAACGACAGTTGTATAGTAGTTTAGATTTATCCTTCCAGCTAAAATAAGAATCGTTGTACGTTGGATTTTATTGCCTAAGAAAACATTAAAGTTTTTTATTTTTGTAACTGTACCGACCTTCTAGAAGAATATGGGGTTGCTGATAATGCCAATATCGTGGAATTCTGGAAATCTAATTGGCAGCCCTTTGATAATGGTTGTAGTTTGTTGAACTGAACGCTGTAAATTAAGTTTGCATGTCTCCAACTTCCTTCATTTCTGATCACGTGTATGATATTGTGCATCTCCGATGTATTCTTTCCATCATTTGACTTAAAATTTAACATAGTGAGATTAATTTAATGTTGCCGTGATGCATTCATTTGTTAGTTATGCAAATATCGATTGTAACATTTTACAATCAGTGAACGACCTCGGAGACATTCGTTTAAGTGTTGACCATATCAGTTGCGGTAGTTCTCATTAATTAACACTTTCAAACATTTGTTAAGCAGCTGAACAATGGAAATCTAGAAAACAGATTTGTATCAACTTAATCAAAAACCTATTGAACAGAAATCACATTCATACCTTTTCATACACAACAAATTTAAGTTTCACTTGTGCACTTTCTTGCTGCACGATCTGATTTTCGTCCCCTTTACTTTAACGTCTCTAGGACCCTAACATGTGTGTGCTCCGTAAGAATTCAACTCTTAAAGATTTAATTTGTAGCTTCCTCTAAAAGCTTTTCTAGCAAAACAAAGCACTTTCAAAAAATTATCCAACCATATTCAAAAGCACCTTCGTAGTCAGAGCTTTTGGCTTTTCAAAAGCTTGCCAAATGGGCCCTTATTCTATTTGATGGTTAAGTGTTTTCTGGCTTGCAACTTTTTGTTCAGTTCTTTATTTTCAATGATTGATTTTCCACCTTCTTGGATTCTTGTTCCATTCTTCCCTTTATATTTTTAATTTTTAATTTTTAACATCACAATTCAGTGGAGGACTGGAGCTTCTCTGTGATTCTGTAAAAATCCATAAGGTCAATTTTGACACACAGGCTGAAGAAGAGAAGGTTTGATCTCTTAATTTATTTCGTTTCAAGTGAAGACTTGAACTAATTTTAGTTCTGACTTTTCACTTACACGTTTTACTGATCTAGTGTTAGTATTTTGTTTTTATATCACTAGGTAACTATGAAACACTTGCTCCCTTGGATCCGCACCAATTTGATCAAGGAGAGGCCTGAAATGTTTATGAAAGGTGATTCCGTGTAAGTGGATTAATTTGGATTGTACATCTCAAGATGCCCTAATTTTGAGCGTGAAAGTTCAACGATCCAAGATTCAATTGTGAGCTAAAAGCTCTTCTATTCTACTCTATCCATTTTGCCCCCATTTTCCAATGCAATTCGAAACCTATCTTGCATCTCCTATTATTGCACCTGCAGCTTTCTTATCTTTCTGAATGCTTTCTACTGCATATCCCACCGTCTTTTGAACAAAATTAAAATCCAATTAAAGCATGTTTGTGTAACTTTGCCTGGTCCAACTTATAGCATGTCAAATTCAATATTTTTCCAAATTGATTTGATCCTTTGACTAGAGAACTCATAATAACTTATGCTGTTATGCAGTTTTGTAATGTAGTCTGCGATTGCCAATTAACATATTTAAATTCAATTGACGGTAACTCCATTTCAAATTCTTCAATGTAATCTGATAATTTTATATTTTTTGCACCCACTTAAAACATTCTAAGGCTTGTATTTGATCTTGGAACATGTGGTTACCATAAACATAGTTGTTTTCACAACAACGCCCTTCTCCCCCTCCTCTCCACCAATCCCCAGTCTATGGAAACCCGAAGCCTGACCTCCTGCAAATGATAAAATCTTAACGAGACAAAATACCTTCATTCAGATAAAGGTATGTTCTCCCTTCCAAGCCCTACTCAAAAGGAGAAAACATGGGTAACACTCTCCAATTGCAGTGGGGGAAAACCGGCGTTTTTTGAGCTTGTTTAAACACTTTACTGTATATATCACCACATGGGGAACGCTCTCCGACTAAGAATGGGAGAAAACCGGTGTATGTATATATATAAATTGGTAGCTAATCCAAATTGAGCTTGCTCATTTTGAAAATGAATTGAAGTGACGAAATTTCCTTGAATTTTTGTTTCATATGCAGAAGGCCAGGAGTTCTGGTCCTTGTGAATGATTGTGATTGGGAACTGAGCGGACAGCTTGACACGGTGCTGGAAGAGAAGGATGTCATTGTTTTCATTTCGACATTGCATGGTGGATAGTTTCTATTTCAATGATCATAAAATGTTCAAGAACAGTGATAATGTTGGGCATATCATAGATTGTTACCAAGAACCAAACTTTGATGCTTACTTTTTATTATTATTTTAATTTGAGGAATTATATTTGGAAGTTTTGTGATTTTAATATCATGGGGGCTAGGGGTTGTGCACAAGACAGTTTAAAATAGACTCTGAGTTTTCTCAATTGAGTTTTTTTTTTCTTTCCTTGAATCAATGAAATTTGAATTTTGTTTCCTATTTTTTTTGGCATTATTAGGGATCAACAAAAAGTTTAACACATTTGTTTGCTCGTGTGCTTTTATGTGTTTATCATTTTCATACAAGCTTATCTAGCATCACTTTTCCTGTGGATTGTTCGATTGCTTTTTAGTACATTGAACTGAACAAGATCGAACATGTCAGTTGAAAGATATTTCATGCGTTTCTTGTCGTTAATTCAATACGGTTATGTTGAAGATACCAAATGATGGCATTGTGGGATGAATCTGATTTCTATACAATATTTCTGGTTTAAATAGTTTGATGATAATATCTAACATGCAATATATTTTCATGCGTCTGATATGCTTACGATAAAGAAGAGTACTGCCAAAATATTTGTGGTGGCTGTTGTTTGTTTTATAATTGCTAGAAGTGGAATTACGTGACAAAATGTGCAGCTCAACGTGATATTTGTACCTGTCTTAGTCTTAGGTTGCAAGTGACAAATTCTTACAAGTAATGATGACTCTTTCAGTACAACAAAGCAAAACCTGAATTTGACAGGTCAAGTCCCAGAATTGATAAGAATGTATATTTTGTTTATTTCAATTGACAAGCTCGAGTGATTCAATATTTTTTTCTCGAATAGTTTACAAGTAAATAATATGTTTAAAATTGACTCGATTTTTTCATTTCTCGTCATCCTTCTCTGTTCCTAATCTATATTAACAAATTCCGACTCGACCGATTGATTTGGTTGAAAAATTCAAAAACCGATCAAGTTATATACTAAAGAATTGAAATACTATTGATATGGAAACTTTGATTCAACTAGAGTTCGGATTGTCACAAATAGACAAGGAAAAATGTGTTTTTTTATAGAGAAAAGTTTTTACTAGTAAGTGATCGTGTTTGGGAGTGGTGAAAAAGTTGATAATATCTGTGGATTTCTCGAAATATGTGGATAAAAAGTAATTTGTATGTTTACAAATATTTTATAAACATGAGCCAAAAATAGATTATCCTCCCATGCTTCTACGAATGTTTATCTGATGCTATGTACCCTTAACGGTGAAAATTAATTTATAATTACTATGACTATATATTTATTTATATGCATTTAAACTATTTTTGAATCATAGAGACCAAAATAATTTATAAATAGAATTAATTATACGGTTAAAAGTTGATAAAAAATTAGGGTCTTATGAAATGTATGATTCTAAAAGTGGATCAAAATTATGAGAATAAAATTTGTGGTCAAAAATGAAATTTTACCAATTTTTTAACAAACAAAAAATTTACAATAAAAGTATTAAAAAACCGACAATCAGTAATTTTATTTTGCAGTCTATATGGATAAATAGATTATCTGTAAAGATTTGAAAAAGGAGAAAACGTAAATGTTGAAAGTGGGATTTGAACCCACGCCCTTTCGGACCAGAACCTTAATCTGGCGCCTTAGACCAACTCGGCCATCTCAACACATTGATTCGCTAAATTTATAAATTGATAATAATGTAAAAACTCCATCTCAGGTTATCATACCAAAAACAAATATTATGAAGAGAGTCAAGTGGCTGATATACAAGATTGATTTATAGTTTGTTAGATGTATTTTCTTGAGAACTTAACAAATTTTAGGAAGTACGCGATAGGGATTCGAATTCTGATCAAGGGAAGATGATCATATATATATATTTCTTTCTTATCCACGTTTAGTAAGATTCTATAGAATTCACAGCATATAATCTTTTTTTTTTACCAAACATAGTCTAATTGTCACTAGTATGTAATTTTGTTTGTCTCGAAGAGTATTTGTTAACAATTGGGAGGTGGAAATGCAAGATGGTGGTGAGTCAATCTTACCATGCACGGAGGGGGGTGGGTTCACTGCCAAGCCACTAATAGAGGGGGGAGGGGTGTATTTTTTCTCATTTTTTTAAACATGTGGGGCCCATTAGTGTGAGTAATCTGGCAGGCCCATGTAGGATTTGCTCCTGTACTTGGAGCAAAACGCTTATTACTTTGATTATTAAAATATTTTCAAATACTATTTTCTATGGTAATTAGGCTTAGCCCAGCAAACAAATTGGCCAAATGTGGGGTATGGTATCATAATATCTTTATAATAGGGCATGTCTACTATATTATTCGTAAATGGCGAATGAGGGATGTCAATGCAAAAAACTCAAGTCGGGAGATCCGATTACCTTATATTCTATGGAATACAATAAAATGATCCTCTTTGAATTAGATTGCTTGTTTGATGTTACAATTTGTGAGGTGGTTCCTTTCTTTTAATGAATCATATTCTTGATTTGGATTGTGCAAATAACGGTAGAGGTGTTAAAGTTGATATGCCTTTGGTGAAGAGTGAAGAATAGATCGACTTGCTTCACGAGTCTGGATTAGTCAGATAAAAAATGGTGACACTTACAGACCATTAGGATTAGACCCGATTTCTTAAGTTTTTTCATTTAAAATTTTTGTGGATTATATTTTGAAAAATGAGAAATTGAAAAATGTCCCCATATACTAGTTAAGACAGCCAGTGCAGGCTTTGGCTGTCTTGAAATTTGACAACATTAACTTGATTGGGGAAATTCTATCTAGGACCTTAACCTTTAAACATTTTGATGATGGAGTCCCCAAACTTCCATTTTTATACATCGGGTCCCTAATCTATAAAAACTGTGCGAGAATGATCCTTATNTGGGGTGGGGTGGGGTGGGGAGGGGAGGGGAGATGGACAACTCAAGGCAAAGACTTAAAATGGCTGGATTTGATATTTTCTTCCACAAATTCTGTAATCCTAATAATTTAATAGCCATTGCAAGTTGCCACGAGATTTTGGTAAGCATTTCTTGGTTTTCTATAGTGAAAATATTTGGGTAAAATAAATGTTTAATCTTTAATTTTGATTCGTCAAATTAAATGGAAAAAGATTTAGAAAATGCGATCTCTTTGAAAGTTGAAACGTGTCTACAAGGCATGTTCTAATATGTTGATTGAACTACGTTAAATATGATCAAGGAAAAACGGGATTAAAAATTTGTTGATTATGTAGGATTGCGTACCATAATTTTCTCTCTCTTACCTACTTGGATTTTCTCAAATAAAATGGGTTCCATATGCCTAAAGAAATTGAAAATAGTAAGTCTGTTTATCGATCAATTTAAATTTGTACAAGTGAAAGAAAAATCTGATTTTTTAATGTAATTTTTTTTTTTTGTTATGAAACTAAGAGAGACAATAATAAGAGAATATAAAGAATAATAAAGTAGGTAAGAGAGTTAAACTCTAGTATATAATTGATTGATATCCCTAGTTTGGGCTCCATTAATTCAATAATTCATTTTTTTTTCTTTTTTTCAAACGCTCGTCCTTCAATAAAATAACATTACACGTAAATTCAAAAAAAAAAATTTTAACCACACATTTTTCAAAAAAATCACCATTACAAAATATATTTCCCCCCACAAAAAATACATTATAATGGAGCTCAAACATGGGTAATCTCCACACACATGCACGTGGAGATTATGCCATGTTATTGATCGTTTCTTTGATGACCATGCAATAGCTCCTACTCCCATTATGAAAATATATTCCAGTGTACTTTTTCGATCATTTGAATCTCCTATATAATCATTATATGTGAAGCCAGTTAAATCTGACTTTTTACCCTTATTGTAGAACGGTCCAAACTCCTCTATACCTTGTAAGTACTAAAAAATTCTTTTTGAAATCAAGAGATAAATCTTTGTTGAACACTCTACGTAGATACTAATGACACTTACATCATGCATTATATTGGACCATGTTGTAGTCAAATGCAGTAATATCCCAACTATTTGCTTGTAAAGAGTGTTGTCACATGGTGTATTCACATGTTTACAATCCTTCATCTGAATCATGTCCATGATTTCTCGCAAATACTTCTTCTGAGAAACAAAACTTCCAATAGAGGACTGCACCACTTCGATACAAGCAAGCAATGGATCATATCGGGATAAGACATTTCAAATTCAGCCACAATAAATTTCTTAATACTTTCAAATATGGCTCTATTACTTCCAATATAAATTAAATCATCTACATATAAGATAGTAATGAACATTTACTCTCCTTCAATAATTTTTTTTTTTTTTTTTGAAATGTGTATGTTCATAAGGACATTTTTGAAATCCTTTCTTTAAAAAATAACTTTCTATACAATTATACTTGTGAAACTTGTTTTAATTAATATAGAGTCTTCTTTAAACTATACACTTTATGCTCATTTTCAAGTTTCACATAACGGGAAATTGATCGATAAATATCAGTTCTTTCAAATCTTCATGGAGGAAGATCGATTCCATGTCCCACTAGAAGATAAGTCATGAGTTTTGAGTTGCCAATGCAATCACCAATCTAATTATATCGTATCTTGCAATCCTTATGAAAAAAATATCTTAAACCCTAATGTGTGATTTATAATGTGGTTCGCTAACCGTCAATTTGGTTGAACTATTTTCTCAACATTAGGGAGATAAATTAATAGTTGAAAATAATACATAATGCATTGTATTATTTGCATTATTATTTTATTTATATCCTCATAATTGACAATATAAATTAGACAACTCATTGCAAGATGCATTTACTATCCTATAAGAGATTAACAAAATCACATGTACCAACTATAGATGCTCCATCTCGTATCGATATCTTAGAAGGACAAACTATTACATTATGTAAATGACACACATAAATCGTTGTGACATTCGATTATA